AGAAAGGCACAGAGAGACAGACATCACATATTCTCACTTATTTGTGGGACCTAAAAATCAGAACATTTGAACTCATGGACATAGACAGTAGATGAACGGTTACCAGAGGCAGGGGGCTAGTGGTGGGAGGTGGTGGTTGGGGGTGTCAGGGAGGAGGTGGGGATTTTCAATAGGTATAAATAAATAATTAGAAGAATGAATGAGACCTACTAATTGATAGCACAATAAGGTGACTATAGTCAACAATAATTTAATAGCATACTTTAAATATACCTTAAAAAGTATAATTGGGTTGTTTGTAACTCAAAGGATAAATGCTTGAGGAGATGGATACCCTATTTTCCATGACGTGCTTATTTCACTTTGCATGCCTGTATCAAAATATCTCATATATCCCATAAATATATAAACCTACTGTGTACCCACAAAATTAAAAATAAATAAATAAATAAAATAACTGTAAAAATAGAAGAAACCTCAAAGTGATAAAGTCAAAATGTCTTGTTTTTCCTGCCAATCTTCCCCCTCTATTTTCTTCCCTTATTGTTAACAACATACTCTCTACATATTTTTATATTCTGAATTTTGTGTTTGCATTATATCTTCAAAAAAGTTATAATTAACTTGATATTGAGCAATAGTATTTTCAAATTCAAATTGTGCTTCTTATCTAGATAAAAGACTTGGCACATAATGATTCTTAATGGATGTGTTAAAACAATTGATTTCTAGGCACAAATCAATGAACTAATAAATGGTGGGGCGGGGGAGCTTTTTTTAAATTTTCTTTTTGAGACAGGGACTGGCTCTGTCGTTGGGTTGGAGTGCAGTGGCACAATTCTTCCACCTCAGCCTCCTCCTGTAGCTGGGACTACAGGCATGCACCACCACGCCCAGTTAATTAGTTTTCTTTGTTTTTATAGACAGGATCTTGCTATGATTCCCAGGCTGATCACAAACTCCTGACCTTAAGAAACCCTTTCACCTCAGCCTCCCAAGGTGTTGGAATTACAGGATGAGCCACTATGTCTGGCCCATAAATAGTTATTTTGCCTGATAAATATCATGCCAAGTATATTATGTTTACATTTTAATATAACAACCATTCTATTTCCCTAAGATTTCCTTTTCTGTCATTTTTATTTTCCTGCCTAAAGATTTGTAAGATTTGTTTATTAGTCTTATAATTAAAAAACAATTGGCTAGATTATGTTTCTATGAGATTTTCTCTCTCACTTTGCCTAGAGCCACATTAAGCTGTACACTAGGAATAAGTGTTTAGAAAGAAATGTGAGAACACTTTGATGATTGTACTTACTATAATTGTTCTGGTTTCTTCCCTAGACTTAGATTTTTATGATTTATTCTCCAGATTGATAATCTCTGTAATCATTCATTTCTCTATGTTTTCCCTTTGAAAACCCATCACACCAAATTTCTTATCTATCACACCAATTCACTTTGCTAGGTGCATACTCTACTATTTGATAACCCCACTGATGCTTTTATATCACATTTTATTTTCATCTTCCTGATGATATTGCTTGTTGATCCTACAATAACCTGTATTTCAACATATTTCCTTGTGGTTTCCTGCCATTTATTTTTGTAACATTTTAGGAAACTGATGCAATCGTATTAGTCTGTTCTCATGCTGCTAATAAAGACATAACCAAGACTGGATAATTTATTAAAACAAGAGGTTTAATTGACTCACAATACTCAAAGTATTAACTCATTTCAGCATTAACTCAAAAGTCCACAGTCCCAAGTCTCATCTGAGACAAGGCAAGTCCCTTTGTAAAATCAAAAGCAAATTTGTTATTTCCTAGATACAATGGGGGTACAGGCAGTGGGTAAGTAAACCTATTCAAATGGGAGAAATTGGCCAAAACAAAGGGGCTACACGTTCCACGCAAGTACAAAATCCAGCAGGGCAGTCAAATCTTAAAGCTCAAAAATGACCTCATTTGACTCCATGTCTCACATCCAGGTCACACTGATGCAAGAGGTGGGTTCCCATGGTCTTAGGCAACTCCACCCCTGTGGCTTTGCAGGGTACAGCTTCCCTCCTGGCTGCTTCCATGGGCTGGCATTGAGCGTCTGCATCTTTTCCAGGTGCACAATGCTAACTGTTGGAGGATCTACCATTCTGGGGTCTGGAGTACAGTGGGTCTCTTCTCACAGCTCCACTAAGCAGTGCCCCAGTGGGGACTCTGTGTGGGGGTTCCCACCCCACATTTTCCTCCTGCACTGCCATAGCAGAGGTTCTCGATGAGGTCCCCACCCTTTCAGCAAACATTTGCTGGACATCCAGGTATTTCCATACATCCTCTGAAATCTAAGCAGAGGTTCCCAAACCTTAATTCTTGACTTCTGTGCACCCACAAGCTCAACATCACATGGAAGCTACCAAGGCTTGGGGCTTGCACCATCTGAAGCAATGGTCTGAGCTCTATGTCAGCCCCTTTTAGCCTCTGCTGGGATGCAAGGCACCAACTCCTGAAACTGCAAAAAGCAGCAAGGTCCTGGGCCCTGCTCACAAAACAATTTTTTTCTCCTAGGCCTCTGGGCCTGTGATGGGAGGGGTTGCCCTGAAGACCTCTGACATGCCCTGGAGACATTTTCCCCGTTGTCTTGGCGATTAACATTTGGCTTCTCATTACTTGTGCAAATTTCTGCAGCCAGCTTAAATTGCTCCCCAGAAAATGGGTTTTTCTTTTCTATCAAATCATCAGGCTGCAAATTTTCTGAACTTTTATGCTCTGCTTCCCTTTTAACATAATTTTCAATTCCAAACCATATATTTGCGAATATATAAAACCATATATTGTGAATATATAAAATGGAATGCTTTTAACTGCACCCAAGTCATCCCTTGAATGCTTTGCTGCTTAGAAATTTCTTCCGCCAGATGCTCTAAATCATCTCTCTCAAGTTGAAAGTTCCACAGATCTCTAGGGCAGTGGCAAAATGCCACCAGTCTCTGAGCTATAACAGCGACAATCACCTTTGTTCCTGTTCCCAGTAAGTTTCTCATCTCTATCTGAGACCACCTCAGCCTAGATTGTATTGTCCAAATCACTATCAGCATTTTGGTCAAAGTCATTCAACAAGTCTGTAAGAAGTTCCAAACTTCCCTACATCTTCCTTCTTTCTTCTGAGTCCTCCAAACTGTTTCAACCTCTGCCTGTTTCCTAGTTCCAAAGTCACTTCTACATTTTTTGTTATCTTTACAACAGCACCCCACTCTACTGGTACCAATTTACTGTATTAGTTGATTCTCAAACTGCTAATAAAAACATACTTGAGACTAGGTAATTTATAAAGGAAAGATGTTTAATGGACTCACAGTTCCACATTGCTGGGAAGGCCTCACAATCATGGCAGAAGGTGAAGGAGTAGCAAAGGTACATCTTACATGGTGGCAGGCAAGAGAATTTGTCCAGGGGAACTATCATTTATAAAACCATTAGATCTCCTGAGACATTTTCACTACCATGAGTAGGGTATGAGGGAAACTGCCCCCATGATTCAATTAAATCCACTTGGCCCCACCTTTGATGCGTGGGGATTATATAATTGAAGGTGAGAATTGCGGGGGTGGAGGGGACCCAGCCAAACCATATCAACAATTATTTTTGAAATTTTATTTATGATATATGTTGATGAAGTAATGTTAGTCACTGGAATTAATAAAACAATTTTTTTACTTTTTATTCACCGGTCTCTGTTATGTGAAAACCCGGTTAGATTTGATAGCTTACCTCATTCTTCAGTCTTAAAAAGTTATTCCTAGCTTTAGTCACCAAAACCTCAGTCTAGCAATTAATATTTCTCATGCTGTACAGGACTAGATCGTTATACAAGTTCATGCTTTTTTCTTTATAACCAGGAAAAATGTTGGGGAAGGGAACTTTGTTTTCTTTTCTTCTTACCCTGCAACTTCTCACTAAGCACATGCTAACTGGGGGCAAAAATCTATTAAAGTGAATACAGATTTCAATTTGTTAACAGGGATAAATAATCTTTTTAAAAAAATCCTTATATACAAAAAAAATCAAGTACAGAACAGAATGAGAGTGAACGCAATAACAGGAGAAAAGACAAAAAAAAATCTGAAGCAAAACAATAGGAAATACAAAAACCACATATGAAGAAACTTTTAAAATATTTGTATTAAGAAAACACAAATGTAGCCTTAAATAAATCAGAAAAAGAATTATTTCCTTAAATAGGAATTTTCAGCATCCTATTTATTTATTTATTTATTTATTTATTTATTTATTTATTTTTAAGACAGAGTCTCACTCTATTGCCCAGGCTGGAGTGCAGTGGCACTATCTTGGCTCAGTTTAACCTTTGCCCCACTGGTTAAAGCGATTCTCCCACCTCAGCCTCCTGAGTAACTGGGACTACAGGTGCACGCCATCATGTCCAGCTAGCTTTTCTTATTTTTAGTAGAGACAGGGTTTCACCATGTTGGCCAGGCTGGTCTCGAACTTTTGACCTCAGATGATCTGCCCAGCTTGACCTCTCAAAATGCTAGGATTAGTGTACCTGGCTTCAGCATCCTAAAGTGTCAACATTGCCCAAGTTAATATATACATTTAATGCACTTCCGGCTGTATTCCCAATGCTCTGAAAGGGTTAGCAAAACCTCTTCTCTTTTTTCACAGGAAAATGATAATAATTCACCTTCTTCAGTACTATTTCCTTTAAATTATGATAATGATATAATGTCAGTGTTTGACAGGAAACACTACTTTTAATAAAAATGGCCCTATTTGGTTAACTGCATCTAGAGGACCATGGCTGCAATAAGGGAATACTATAGTGTGTTTATTTTCACTTACAACTTTAATATCTAATTTTATGGTATTGTTACTTCCCCAAATAAATTCTAAAGTCATTTTGTTTCTATGTCTAGGTATACTATACAATAAGCAGAAAGCCATTCAGTTATCTGTTTCTATAGTTACTAATTCATTGATAAGAAGTCCAATATAAGGCTAGTTTTTATTATTTTAGTACAAGCATAAGCAATAATTTAGTTTAACATATTTTTGAGAACATATTAAGTTGCAAATTGAAACTATTATTTTAATTTTCTTTGAAATAAAATAGAAATTACAACAATATCAGAAGCTATCTTTGCAAGCTTTGAGACTACAAGAGTGAGAAGTGGAAGCTGGACATACATTTAGGGTAACAATGTTCTTATTCACATCTGGGATATTCCAGTATCCCTTCCCAACACACTGCTTGAAATGATAGAATTGATGTATTTGCATTATATCCCAATTTGCACATAAATTCAATGGTATCCCCTGTTTTTGCATAATATTTTCTGTCACTTTTTCCTTTTAACTGTATGTTATTTTTATTCATGTTTTCTTCAGTTATTATACATGGATCTGAAAGCAGAAAAAAATCAATTAACAATCATAATCTTCCCTTTCATGCAATAAAATGCATCCTAATGAACACTTTAGGGTAAAATAAAATTATAAAATAATCCAAATAGTTAATAGTTATTAACTTGTGCTACATACTGACTTTAGCATTTTACAAATATAGTAAGTTCAGTTGCACTTCCCCAATGTCACAGCAGAGATCATCAGGTGAGGGTGATAAACGTGGACTCTGGCAGTCTTTCTCTAGAACCTGAACTCTTCTTCCCTAAAACATGTTATGTCCACCCTAGTGACTTCATACCAAAAAGGATTATGCTAATATGTTCTGTTGGAGTCTTGGTTATTTATCCTTCTTTCCCCTCTATTCGACCAGCCATGACTACAAACACTCCAAATGTACTCACATTTTGCTAGTTTAATTCTATGTTTCTATTTTTCTGTTATGCCCATGATGTAGAAACAGAACTGTAGAAAGCTAAATCTTTCTAATAGTCATCTATTAAAATGAAACTCTCTCTATATACATACATACATAAATATACCTCAATATCTATCAATTATGTCTCTATATATCACCATCATCTATCCCTGTCATCTTCATTTTCTATTTTAAAGAGAGGCAAGGATAAGCACACAAGAGTTAATTTGAATCCCTACATGATTATGGACAAATTACTCTATCTCACTATGCCTTCATCTGTAAAATCGGTAAGATAATGTTACTTCCACATATGGGTTTTCTTTTATAAAATTCTTTTTTAAAAACATTTATAATTTTTTTTTTTTTTAGTTCCAGGGTACATGCGCAGGATGTGCAGGTTTGTTATATAGGTAAATGTGTGCCATGGTGGTTTGCTGCACCTGTCAACCCATACCCTAGGTATTAAACCTAATTCTTACCTGATAAAACTTTCAGTTCTTAAAGATATCATTCACTCATCTATCTCTTCTTTTGACTCAAGTATTCTGCATTCTAGTTTAGCCCTTATTAGCATTAGTATTTCTTTAGAAATTTCCCCAAATCATATTTTAATACATCTTTCAAGCACTTACTTAAATAAATTTCTTAACATAGTACATATCACTTCTGAAATTCAAAAATTTTTAAGAGCTCTTCAATACATTCAGGGGCTGCTTACAATTCAAAAATAAATATTATTCAAACTCTAAATATTTCTCCAAACATATTTTCCAAAACTTTCTAAAGTTTCCTGCTGCCCGGGAAAGTTTTCCTCATTGCTTTAATATGCCATATGTGTATGTAATATTTTCCATAAGGTTGCCTTTTTCCCTAGAATTCTCTGCTTGAATGCTCTTTGCTTCTTTAGTTTTGAAGACAGAAAGTCTTGCTTGTATCATGGAACTGATCTTATATCTTCAGATAATTATAATCCCTTCCTGTTCTTGACTGTGAGAAGAGGTAATGCTTTTGCTGTGAAACGCGTCTTAGGAGTGTCCATATCCTCAATCAAATTTAAGACTCAGAATTTATCTCTGAAACCTAACACTTTTCTATGAAATCAGGTTTGAAGATACTTGTAAACTATTTTGATTTGAGGATACTAATTTTCCTCTGCAGTCTTGCCACTTGCATAGTTTGGAGCTCAAACTTGGACACGATCATCTACAGAAGTGGTTACATAAATAGGGGACAGTAATTAACATTTAGCCCATTTTAGGATCAGCCAAAATATCAATGTCTTCAGTCAATATGAAAGGTAAAAGGTAGCATAGCATCAAAATAAAGGAAATGAGTCACATCACATAAAAGAATTGCTTGTATTATCCTGTACTTAGGAACTTGAGCACTTGAAAAACTCATGAACTTACAGTTTAAGAGCTGTGATAGGAATAGGTTATCTGATATGCAAGGCCTGATGGGTATCCCAGGGCTCTACCGCATAGGCTAGAGGAAACTTGTGGCAAATTTTCTGTCAGGTTTTCTTGTTGTTGCCATAATTACTGTAGCTTTTATTTTGAATTGTGTTGCTTTAAGTTCATAGGATTTGCGGGACAAAATTCTGAGAGTATACCTATATTGCAGACTTAAGGGGTTTTTAGTGTATTCATTTTGATTCTGGTATAAGGGAAGGGGAGAATAAGGTAAAAATAGAAACACATTGGGTTATGGAAATGGCTGTAGTGCCCATTAATTTCTTTCTTGCTTGCTAGGAATACTGATAAAATATAAGTAAGAATAATAATCAGAGAAAGAACTTCTCAGGTTAACCAGGTATGTTTTCTGTCAGGAAGAATTTCATGTTTTTAAGTAGGATTTAATAGCTCATGGTTTTTTGAAACAATGTTTTCAAAACTGTTTGAAAACTCTTCACCTAAGTTTTAATAATGTGAAAATGATCACTGTTGTTAAACTGAGATGCTGCATTTCATATGTACGCAATAAACAGATGTTGTTCTTGAAGAATCATTGTATTCATTAACAAATTGCAGACTCTGAACATTCTTGTTTGTTTGTTTTTTCTCTCTTTTTCTTTTCTTTTCTTTTTCTTTTTTTGAGATGGAGTCTTGCTCTGTCGCCCAGGCTGGAGTGCAGTGACGTGTTTTCAGCTCACTGCAAGCTCCGCTTGCCGGGTTCAAGCGATTCTCCTGCCTCACCCTCCTGAGTAGCTGGGATTACAGGCATGTGCCAGTATGCCTGGCAAATTTTTATATTTTTTTGTAGAGATGAGTTCACCATGTTGGTCAGGCTGGTCTTGAACTCCTGACCTCGTGATCTGCCTGCCTTGGTCTCCCAAAGTGCTGGGACTACAGGCATAAGCCACCACCCCGGGCCAACATTCCTGTTTTAAAACAGAAACTTGGTCATTGTTTACATGGAATTTTCCAAGTTTATACACATATATTAAGATCTGAAAGGCAAACATTCAGCAGAATAGCTGTTTGTGAACACAGTTCTAGGGTAATAACCCATCAAAATTCTAGTATCAATAAGCACGTATCAAACTTATTACTCTGATTTTCTCAGAATCTAGAATATTAAGAACTTACTTATGCATCTTGGTGGCTCTGACCACTCTCCATTACTACATGTTACATATTGAGAACCCTGAAGTTTATAGTAGGACTGGCATTGGTACTCGACTCTTGACTGTGGCAGATACACTTTTTGCGGGAAGGACTTGGTATCTGCATTGCTAATAGGTGGAGGAGGCCCACACTTTTCTGAAGAATCTGAAAAAGAAATATTTTATATGTGGGGAAAAATCAACAGTTTTATCAGACACTTTTTAAATAAAGCTTTTCATATATTCTCAACTGTGTCTTATTTGATTTCTTAGGAAGACATTTGCATTTTCAACCTTGGTTTTTTTTTTTTTGTCTCAAGATAATTCACACTCATATGAGGACTACATATATATGTATATATATGTACACACTTATATGTGTACATATACATATGTAGTTGTCTATTATTTTATTTAATTCTAATAAAAAGAAATACTTGAATAAAATACTTACTATAGCATGTTGGCAAATGTGACCAGCCATCTTCACCACACACTGTGGAACCTGTGGTGTTTCCATATCTGCTTTCATATCCATCATAGCATTCATAGTCCAATGTGTCATGGAGCTTAAACCACATGCCATTACTCTTGGCTCTGGAATTCTCCAAAACAGGCGTATCACAAAATTCTGAAACAAAATAAAATTGAGGATTGCTTTTCTATGCCATATGATGTACAGCTCAACTAAGAAAGTTTCATTATAGGAATAAAACTTACCAATCAGTGTGTGCTAATAAATTGAGTACTGTTAAAAAATAGTCTGATAATCAGTGCTTTTTGTGCTATAATAGTTAACTACAATAGTTAAATATATTTCTCTATATATATTCTTCTTATCATTTAAATTCTGTGAAAACATATTAAGAACATTTAGTCAGTCCTATTTTTATCTGTGAAAATCTCATTGGCTGTTATTAAAGTCTATATTACGATGCTACAATGTAGTATTTTAAAGATGATAAAATTTTGTGAATTTAAAACATGGTGAACCCCGTCTCTACAAAAAATGCAAAAATTAGCTGTAATCCCAGCTACTCAGAGGGGTGAGGCAGGAGAATAGCTTGAATCCAGCAGGCGGAGCTTGCAGTGAGCTGAAATCACATCACTGCACTCCAGCCTGAGAGACAGAGGGAGACTCCAATTCAAGAAAAAAAAAAAAAAAGAAAAGAAAGAGAAAAATACAAAATTTTTGTGATTTTAAGCTTTGTGAATTTTAAAGATGATAAAATTTTGTGAATTTAAATGTAACTATTTATGTATTTATGTAACTATTTACTAACAGTAAGGGTGTATATGTTAGATAAAAATTATATTAATTAGATATAAGCTCTATACAAATTTATGAAGCAGCCTATCGTTTATTTTACAAGTTTTAATGTAGATCATTTATCAAAGCTGAGTAAAATTGAAGTATACACTTTACACAGAGTCCATGATAAGCATAGAAATAGTAAACAGTATTCTAGAAATGTAGGAATTGATACAGTCTGGAAAACCTATGGTAACTTTGAGATAATCACTTTGTAAGTATATCTTTCTTTTTTCCCACTTAGCTTAATATTTTTGAGATTCATCCATGTTGTATTATGTATCAAGGTTCCATATTATCTCATGGCCAAAAATAGTTGAATTGTACCCTTGAAAAAGAAGTGGATTTTGGAGTATGTAAATTATACAACAGTCCTCTGGGTTAAAAATACATTAAGCAATTTATCTTTAAAACTTTTTGTGAATATCTAAAAAGGAAAGAAAAAAATCAAATTTTGGCACTGAAAGACTTCCTTTGTTCATTATGTAATCTCTTTATCATAATAAGTAAAGGTCGAGCATGTTCAGAGAACTTTATGTGTAAGGAATCCATTGGCAAGTATGAGGTTTGTAAACATTCAACCCACCCACCTACCCTTTTCTTTTACTTGTTTTCTCTGTAGTAAACAATAGGCTGGAGATAATTTTTTGATTGGATATCCTCAGTAGCATCATCGATACAAATTATTACGGTCTGATTCTCCTGATGCTAGCAGAAATTCAGAATTAAGGATTCATTTCTCCCCTGACATGTACATCTTTTCTGAGTGTGAGCAAGGAATACAATACAAGCAGTTGATAATTTTGAAATACAAATAAAGACAAAAGAACAAAGTTTTTATTGGCAACTAATACATTTTGCTGATATTCCCATGCAGTTGCCTAACTAGTCTGTACATTATAAGATTGCTTTTATGTAAAGGCAGATTGAGTTGTAAGAGATGAAATGATCATCTTCCCAAGTAGCCATTACTCTAAAAATGCAGAAGACTTAGTTTGGCCCAGAATGTTAAATGGTATTAGAAGTATTTGTATCTCTTTACTCCTAAAAGTGTTTTCTATATTTTTAAGTAAAACACTATCATCTCAAAGAGAGGAAAGAAGCTGACAGAAACTGAATGGAAATATGTAAATCACTTACTAATGCAAATTGGTTGTGCTGACCATCCATTTTGCAAACATGTAATTGATCCTGAAGAATTTCCATCTGCTGTTGCATATCCTGGTTTACATTTATATTGCATTTCTTTATTTAAAATATAAATAGAGGAAGATTCAGAAATAAATCCATTTTCAATTTCTATATCTGATTTTGAGCATGTTCCTAAAATAGAAAAAGTAGAGAAAAAATACGTATTTGTTGAATACTTCTTTTATAGAAGGGAACAAGTAAAAACATGGCAATATGGCAAAACAATGAAACATTTGTTAATGAATTGAAAACAGCAAAACTGGAAGTTTCCTAAACATCAGTGTTCTTAAAAGGAAACCACGAATTTTTGAAGGAAATGTTGAAAACACAGGGAAAGGCAGAATAAAAGCAAAGAATCCTTGAGACTGTCAACAGAGTTGTGGCAGGCCTTGAAAAATGCAGATCTAGCAGACTCTCAAGTCCCTAATGATATTTTGGAAGATTTTCTGGCTACTTTGCAACAACCTAAGTATTTTTGGTACTATTAAGGTGTCTTACACCTCGTTAAGTCAAATGCCATTTCCCAGGCAAAGATAATGTACACACTGCTACCACAGGCAAGTGAGTAATTTTGTAAATCCTTTATCTCCAACAATTGAAAATGGTTGTCATCTTAAGTGGGTGCTTAAACACATAGAGACGTGGTATTTGAGAGGAATGTGGAAATATAAACAGAAAAAAGAAAGCAAACAAGATTGCCAAAAGAAGTTCTACTACATTCGTAATGTGTTTGTTCTTTATATATTAGTAATGTATGTGTTCTACACATTACTAACGGGTATATGCATAAGATATTAATTATTTTAGTAATGTTATGTTCTAAGATACTAGTAGTGTACATGTTCTTTTCTAATTAGTAATTAGAAAAAAATGTAAATGGACCAATTTTACTATCTGAAAGAAAAAGAAATCATGTTATAGATGATACATATTTATAATATAGCCTTTGTCATAATCATGAGTTTTCTGATCTATTCTTGCCTACTTTCCTATTAATCTCTTCCAGTCTCTAAACTACAGTGTTCAGTTTCTCTTGTTAACAATTTTATTTTCAATATCTATAAAGTACTTGACACACAACAATATTTATTAGGCAAATTAATGATAGAGTTGGTGCCTATGGCTTAGGCTATTGTTGAGGATAGTTGCTCCTACAAGCTGTAAGGAGATTCCCATGTCTTTCATCTCAATTATATAATAATTATCATGCGGTTTCTATAATGGAATGTTTTGTAAATTGCAAGCAATACACGAAAACGACTTTCAGAGACTCCTTTGCCTAAAAAGTGAAAGTCAGCTATAACAGAAGATGAGTCTTAATTTAAAGCAACAGATCACTAACTATAACAATAAATGTCATATAATTGTGAGAGATGTACAAGTGACCTTTGAGCAAGCATTATATTTATTGTTTAGCTAATGCTATAATTTTATAAACTACTTAAATCAATGCATTTAGCATGATTTCAGTATAAATACTGAAGCAGTGTTACTTTCACCTGTATTTTATTTATTTTGTGTTATTCATGACTTATATTTCTATTGTTACTTAACTATTAAGTGACAGAATCCACTCATTATCCAGAAATTATAAATATACTCATACATCTTTGGAACTGGAAACTAGCTAGGCTTCTACTTAAAAATAAAAAAGATATATATTTAGCTTCAGAGTTGATATACAAAATTTTCCTGTTAAAGGTCTAGATCTCAGACAGTTACGGACATACTGGGATCTCAAACGAGTGGACTAACTGGCACGAATGCATCTGGGAGGAGGAGACCAATCATCCTCTGTACATGAAACTGTGGTCTGCACATTTGGAAGATGGTAGTCGGGACAGACTTCAGCTTTCACAGATTGACCCTGTCAATATGTCCCTTCATACTTTGTGTTATATCCATTCTCCAAATAACTGAGAATGCATTGTCCTAAAGACCATAAAATGATTAAAAAGTAAATTAGAGACATGAATTTAATCAAAATAGTATATTAAAATAATTTTTAGAATATTTAAATAAACTGCATCAATACTCAAAAATAATGTATAACTGAAGGAAAACTAAAGCTACTCTAAATGTACAAAAAAGTCAGTATTCAATGTTACTTATCTTTAATTTTTATAAAATATGTTTAGAATATATATGTGTTCTCCTAAAGTTCCTATATTTATTTCTCATGTGATTTTCATAAAGATCTCATAACAGAAAAAATCCATTTTGGTCTTTTTGCTTGAACAACTCTTTCCTTGGTACCATTTCTGTCATATAAGACAATGTAATCATTTATTTGCTCTTCTCTCTCCATTCTTTGCAAGTTTTATGCACATATTGTTGTGAAGAGGTTTACTTACTGAGGCATGGGACTGTTGGCAACCACCCATCTTGTGTGCAATGAATGTAATCCCAGTAACTTCCTGAAGGAGTCACAAAATTTGCATCACAGTAATAGGAGTAAGAATTTCCTGCAGCTACTGGAAAGTATGGTCTACGTATAGTCTGATAATACAGACCTCCATGTTGAATTTCTGGAAACTCACAAGGTTTCATTACTTGTAACAAAAAACAAAAATAGTATAAATAATGTTTCACTGTAATAGACAATGATATAAGAGATGACTGTTTTGATTATGTTACCTTCCACATAATGGTTTTGTTTTCTTTTTTCTTTTTTTTTCTTTTTTGATATGGAATTTCACACTTCTGCCCAAGCTGGAGTGCAATGATATGATCTCGGCTCACTGTAACCTCCGTCTCCCAGGTTCAAGCAATTCTCCTGCCTCAGCTTCCCGAGTAGCTGGCACTATGGGCACACACCACCATGCCCATGTAATTTTTCTAATTTTAGTAGACACAGGATTTTACCATATTGGTCAGGCTGGTCTCGAACTCCTGACCTCAGGTGATCCACCCACTTCAGCCTCCCAAAGTGCTGGAAATACAGATGTGAGCTACCACACCTGGTTCGTTTTATTTTAGAATTTTTTTTTAAATTTTTATAATAATTTTTTAAGTTCTGGGATACATGTGTAGGATGTGATGGTTTGTTACATAGGTAAATGTGTGCCATGGTGATTTGCACCACCTATCAACCTGTACCCTATGTATTAAGCCCAATTCTTCCATGGTAAGCTTTCCATTTTTGATGATGTCATTCACTCTTCTTTCTCTCCTTTTGATGCAAGTATTCGGCACTCAAGTCTAGCCCTTATTAACATTGGTATTTCTTTAGAAACTTCCCCAAGTCATATTTTAATACATCTTTCATGAACTTACATAAATACATTTCTTCACATAGTACATATCACTTCTGAAATCCAAAAATGTTTAAGAGCTCTCAATACATTCAGGGGCTATTTACAATTCAAAAATAAATATTATTTGAGCACTAAATACTCCTCCAAACGTATTTTCTAACACTTTCTAAAGTAGATACAGAAGTGAATACATAAATAGGGGACAATAATTAAGGTTTAGCTCATCGTAGGATCAGCCAAGATATCAGCGTCATCAGTCAATATAAAAGGTAAAAGGCAGCATAGCATCATAATAAAGGAAATGAGTCACATCACAGAAAAGAGCTGCTGGTATCATCCTATACTTAGGAAGCTGAGCACTTGAAAAACTCATGAGTTTACAGTTTAAGAGCTGTGTTAGGAATAGGTTATTTGATATGCAATGCCTGATGGGTATCCCAGGACTCTACGTTATAGGCTAGTAGAAACTTGTGGCAAACTTTCTGTTAGGTTTTCTTGTTGTTGCCATAATTATTTTGGCTCATATGTTTTGAATTGTGTTGCTTCAAGTTCATAGGACTTGGAGAACAGATTCTGGAAGTATACCTATATTACTGACTTGAGGGATTTTTCATGTATTCATTTTGATTCTGGGATGAAGGGAGAGTAGATAAAGGTAAAGACAGAAAACATGGGGTTTTAGAAATGGCTGACCTTTCCTTTAATTTCTTTCTTTCTTGCTAGAAATACTGGTAAAATATAAGACAGAACAATAATCAGAGAAAGAACTTCTCAGTGTTAACTAGCTATGTGCTCTCTCAGGATGCATTTCAGGTTTTCAAGAAGGATTTTAGTTAATCATTCATGGTTTTTATTATAATTTAAGTTCTGGGGTACACGTGCAGAACGTGCAGTGTTTTTACATAGGTATACATGTGCCATGGTGGTGTGCTGCACCCATCAACCCATAACCTACATTAGGTATTTCTTCTAGTGCTATCCCTCCCTTAGCTCCTTACTCTGTGACAGGCACTGGTGTGTGATGTTCCCCTCCTTGAGTCCACCTGTTCTCCTTGTTCAACTCCTACTTACGAGTGAGAATATGTGGTGTTTGATTTTCTGTTCTTGTGATAATTTGCTGAGAAGGATGGTTTCCAGCTTCATCTTTGTCCCAGCAAAGGACATGAACTCATCCTTTTTTATGGCTGCATAGTATTCCATTGTGTATATGTGCCACATTTTCTTTACCTAGTATATCATTGATGGACATTTGGGTTGGCTCCAAGTTCATTGTTTTTAAAACAGTGTTTTCAAAACTCTTTGAAAACTCTTTTCCTAAATGTTAATAATGTGAAAATGATTACTGATCTTAAGTTGAGATGCCATATTTCATATGTGTGCAATACATCAATGTCATTCTTGAAGACTGATTGTATCCATTAACAAATTGATGTCTCTGAACAATCCTGTTTTAAAAAAGAAACTTTGTCATCATTTACATGAAATTTTCCAAGCTTATACACTTACATATTAAGATCTGAAAGGCAAACATTCAGCAGAATAGCTGATCCAGAATATTAAGAACTTACATCTGCATCTTGGTGGTTCTGACCACTCTCCATTACTACAAGTTACATATTGAGAACCCTGAAGTTCATAGGAGGACTGGCACTGGTACTCGACTGTTGACTGTGGCAGATACACTTTTTGCGGGAAGGACTTGGTATCTCCATTGCTAATAGGTGGAGGAGGCCCACACTTTTCTGAAGAATCTGAAAAAAAGACTATTTTTTATGTAGAGAAAAATCAATAGTTTTATTGGAAACTTTCTGAATAAAGTTTTTTATATACTCTTAACTGTATCTTATTTGATGTCTTAGGAAGACATTTGCATTTTCAACCTTGGTTTTTTGTTTTTTTTTTTAAGGTTTAAGGTAATTCACACTCAAATGAGTACTACATGAATATGTACATATATGTATACGTACACATATATGTGTACATATATGTGTACGTATACATATGTATGTTTTTATTTATTTATTTATTTAATTCTAGTAAAAAGAAATACTTGAATAAAACACTTACTATAGCATGTTGGCAAATGCGACCAGCCATCTTCACCACACACTATGGAACCTGTGGTGTTTCCATATCTGCTTTCATATCCATCATAGCATTCATAGTCCAATGTGTCATGGAGCTTAAACCACATGCCATTACTCTTGGCTCTGGAATTCTCAAAAACTGGCATATCACAAAGTTCTGAAACAAAATAAAATTGAGGATTGCTTTTTTATGCCATATGATATACAATTCAACTAAGAAAGTTTCATTATAGGAATAAAATTTACCAATCAGTGTTTGCTAATAAATTGAGTACTATTAAAAAATAGTCTGACAATCAGTGCTTTCTTTGTGCTGTAACAGTTAATTAGAAGAGAAAAATATATTTCCCTATATATATCCTTCTCATCATTTAAATCCTATGAAAAACATATTAACAATATTTAGTTAGACCTATTTTTATTTGAGAACATCTCATTGGCTGTTATTACAGTCTACCTTTCTCATTATAATGTATTATTTTAAAGACGATAAAATTTTGTGAATTTAAAAGTTAATGTACATATTTATGTACTCAATTTACTGACAGTAAGGGTGTATGTTGGATTAAAATCATATTCATTGGATAATAGGTTCTACAAAAATATATAAAGCATCTTATCTTTTATTTTACAAGTCTTATAGTTGATCATTTATCAAAGCTGAGTCAAATTAGATTGAAGTATACAGCTTTTCTTTACACAGAGCCCATGATAAGCATAGAAATTGAAAACAGTATTCTAGAAATGTAGGAATTATATTTTATAGCTCCCAAACCTCAGAGTAACTATGAGATAATCACTTTCTAATTGTATCCTTTCTTTTTCTCACTTAGCTTAATACTTTTGAGATTCATCCATGCACTATTATGTATCAGTAGTCCCTTCCATTTCATCTCATGGCTAAAAATAGTTGAATTGTACACTTGAAAATGAAGTGGATTTTGCACTATGTAAATTATATATCAATATGTGTGTTAAAAATAAATTAAATAATTTATCTTTAAAAATCTTTGTGAATGTCTACAGAGAAAAGACAAAAAAGATCAACTTTTGCCACTGCAAGATTTCCACGGTTCATTATGCAATCTCTTTAATAATAAGTAGTTACAAGTTGGGAATGTTTTAGAGAACTTTAGTTGTAAGGAATCCATTGCCAAGTATGAGGTTTGTAAACATTCAGCCCACCCACTTGCCCTTTTCCTTTACTTGTTTTCTCTGTACTAGATTACCAGCTGGAAATAATTTTCTGAGTTGGTTCTCCTCAGTTGCATCATTGATACAAATTATTAAGGTCTCATTCTCCTGATGCTAGCAGAAACTCAGAATTAAGCACTCATCCCTTCCCCGACATGTACATCTTTGCTGAGTGTGAGCAAGGAATACAATACAAGCAGTTGATAATTTTGAAATACGAAGAAAGGGAAAAGAACAAAGTTTTTATTGACAACTGTTACATTTTGCTGAGAGTCCCGTGCAGCTGTCTAACTAGTCTGTACCTGATGGGATTGCTTTTACGCAAAGGCAAATTGAATTGAAAGAGATGGAATGATCATCTTCCCAAGTAGCCATTACTCTAAAAGGCAAAAAAGGCTTAGTCTGGCACAGAATGTTAAATGGTATTAGAAGTGTTTATATCTCTTTACTCCTAAAAGTGTTTTCTATATTTTTAAGTAAAACACTATCATCTCAAAGAGAGGAATGAAGTTGACAGAAACTGGATGGGAATATGTAAATCACTTACTAATGCAAATTGGTTGTGCTGACCATCCATTTTGCAAACATGTAATTGATCCTGAAGAATTTCCATCTGCTGTTGCATATCCTGGTTTACATTTATATTGCATTTCTTTATTTAAAATATAAATAGAAGAAGATTCAGAAATAAATCCATTTTCAACTTCTATATCTGATTTTGAGCATGTTCCTAATAGAAAAAGTAGAGGAAAAAAAAAATTTGTTGAATACTTCTTTTATAGAAGGGAACGAGTAAAAGCATGGAAATATGGTAAAACAATGAAATATTTGTTAACAAATTGAAAACAGCAAAACTGGAAGTTTCCTAGACATCCATGTTCTTAAACCATGAATTTTGAAAGAAAATAGTGAAAATACAGGGAAAGGCGGAATAAAAGCAAGGAATCCTTGAGACTGTCAACAGAGCTCTGGCAGGCCTTGCGGAGGAATGCAGATCTAGCAGACTCTCAATTCCCTATGACTTTTTGGAAGAGTTTCTGGCTACTTTGCAATAACCTGAATCTTTTTGATGCTATTAAGAGATCTTAGACCTCATATAGTCATATGCCATTTCTCAGGCAAATATACAGTACACACTGCTACCACAGACAAGGAAATAAATTTGCAAATCTTTAGTCTCCAGGAAATTAAAATGATTGTCATCTTAAGTGGGTCTTAAACCCATATAGACATGGTGTTTGAGAGAAATGTGGAAATGTAAGCAGGAAAAAAACAAACAAACAAGATAGCAAAAATAAGTTGTAATATATTAGTAATGTATAGGTTCTTCACATATTATTGTATATGTTCTATATGTTACTAATGTGTTTATGCATAAGGTAGTAATTATTTTAGTAATGTATATGTTCTAAGATATTAGTAATGTATATGTTCCTTTTTAGTTAGTAATTAAAAAAATGTAAATGGACTAATTTTACTATCTGAAAGAAAAATAAATCATGTTAAAGATGATAAATATTTATAATATAGCATTTGTCATAATCATGAGTTTTCTGATCTATTCTTGCCTACTTTTCTATTAATCTCCTCTAAACTCTAAACTACAGTGTTCAGTTTCTCTTGTAAATAATTGTATTTCATATCTATAAAGCACTTGACACACAACAATATTTATTAAGTGCATTAATGATAGAGTTGGTGCCTACGGTATGAGAAAAAGGGACTTTTCTTTCAGAGACTTAGGCTATTGTTGAGTACAATTGCTCCTACAAAGGTGTAAGAAGATTTCTATTGTCTTCCATGTCAATTATATCATAATTATCATACGGTTTCTATAATGGAATGTTTTGTAAATTGCAAGCGATGCACACAAACAACTTTCAGAGACCCCTTTACCTAAAAAGTGAAAGTCAGCTATAACAGAAGATGAGTCTTAATTTAAAGCAACAGAGCACTAACTATAACAATAGATGTCATATAATTGTGAGAGATGTACAAGTGACCTTTGGGCAAGCCTTATATTTATTGTTTAATTAATACTATAATTTCATAATCTACTTAAATCAATGCATTTAGCATGATTTCAATATAAATACTGAAGCAGTGTTACTTTCATCTATATTTTATTTATTTTGTGTTATTCAAAATTTATATTTCTATTACTTGACTATTAAGTGACAGAATCCACTCATTATCCAGAAATTATAAATGTATTCATACATATTTGGAACTGAAAACTAGCTAGGCTTCTATCTAACAATAAAAAAGGCCTATATTCAGCTTGAGAATTGATACACAAAATTTTCCCGTTAAAGGTCTAGAATCTTAGACAGTTATGGACATACTGGGATCTCAAACAAGTGGACTAACTGCCACGAATGCATCTGGGAGGAGGAGACCAATCATCCTCTGTACATGAAACTGTGGTCTGCACATTTGGAAGACCGTAGTCAGGACAGACTTCAACTTTTACAGATTGACCCTGTCAATATGTTCCTTCATATTTTGTGTTATATCCATTCTCCAAATAACTGAGAATACATTGTCCTAAAGACCATAAAATGATTAAAAAGTAAATTAGAAACATTAATTTAATCAAAATAGTATATTAAAATAATTTTAGAATATTTAAATAATACTGCATCAATACCCCAAAATAATGTATAACTGAAGGACAACTAAAGCTACTACTAAATGTTTGTACAAAAAAGTCAGTATTCAATGTTAGTTCTCTTTCGTTTTCATGATAAAATATGTATAAATTACATAGGTATTCTCATAAAATTCCTATATTTATTTCTCATGTGATTTTCATGAAGATCTCATAACAGAAAACATCCATTTTGGTCTTTTTGCTTGGATAACTATTTCTTTGGTACCATTTCTGTCATATAACACAACGTAATCATTTATTTGCTCTTCTCTCTCCATTCTTTACAAGTTTTATGCACATATTGTAAAGAGGGTTACTCACCGAGGCATGGGACTGTTGGCAACCACCCATCTTGTGTGCAATGAATGTAATCCCAGTAACTTCCTGAAGGAGTCACAAAATTTGCATCACAGTAATAGGAGTAAGAATTTCCTGCAGCTACTGGAAAGTATGGTCTACGCTTACTCTCATAATACAGACCTCCATGTTGAATTTCTGGAAACTCACAAGGTTTCATTACTTGTAACAAAAAACAAAAATAGTATAAATAATGTTTCACTGTAACAGACAATGATATAAGAGATGACTGTTTTGATTATGTTACCTTCCACATAAAGGGTTTTTTATTTCTTTTCTTTTCTTTCTTTTTTTTTTTTTTTTTTGAGACGAAATTTCGCTCTGTTGCCCAGGCTGCAGTGGTGCGATCTCGGCTTACTGCAACCTCCGTCTCCCAGGTTCAAGCAATTCTCCTGCCTCAGCCTCCCGAGTAGCTGGCACTATGGGCACACACCACCATGCCCATCTAATTTTCGTAATTTTAGTAGACACAGGGTTATACCATATTGGTCAGGCTGGTCTCGAACTCCTGACCTCAGGTGATCCACCAGCTTTGGCCTCCCAAAGTGCTGGGATTATAGGTGGAAGCAACCGTGCCTGGCTCGTTTTCTTTTAGATTTTTTTTAAAATTTTTATAATAATTTTTTAAGTTCTGGGATACGTGTGTAGGATGTGAAAGTTTGTTACATAGGTAAAAGTGTGCCATGGTGGTTTGCACCACCCATCAACCCATACCTTAGGTATTAAGCCCAATTCTTCCATGGTAAGCTTTCCATTTTTGATGATGTCATTCACTCCTCTTCTCTTCTTTTGATGCAAGTATTCTGCACTCAAGTTTCGCCCTTATTAACATTAGTATTTCTTTAGAAATTTCCCCAAATCATATTTTAATACATCTTTCAAGGACTTACTTAAATAAATTTCTTAACATACTACATAGCACTTCTGAAATCCAAAAATTTTTAAGAGCTCTTCAATACATTTAGGGGCTGTTTGTTTACAATTCACAAATAAACATTATTTGAGCACTAAATACTTCTCCAAACATATTTTTCAAAACTTGCTAAAGTTTCCTACTGCCTGTTTAAGTTTTCCTCATTGCTTTAATATGCCATATGTATATGTAATATTTTCCATAAGGTTGCCTTTTTCCCTAGAATTCTCTGCTTGAATGCTCTTTGCTTCTTTAGTTTTGAAGACTGAAAGTCATGCTTGTATCATGGAACTGATCTCATGTCTTCAGATAATTATAATCCTTTCCTGTTCTTGATTGTGAGAAGAGGTAATGCTTTTGCTGTGAAACGCATCTTAGGAGTGTCCATCTGCTCAGTCAATCAAATATAAGACTCAGAATTTATCTCTGGAACCTAATACTTAATTTTTCCTATGGAATCAAGTTTGGAAATACTTGTAAACTATTTTGATTTGAGGATACTAACTTTCCTCTGCAGTCTTGACACTTGTATGGTTTGGAGCCCAGACTTAGACATTATCATCTACAGAAGTGGATACATAAATAGGGTACTATAATTAAGGTTTAGCCCATCATAGGATCAGTCAAAATATCAGCATCATCAGTCAATATAAAAGGTAAAATGTAGCGTAGCAGCAAAATAAAGGAAATGAGTCATATCACGGAAAAGAACTGCTTGTATCATCCTGTACTTAGGAACTTAAGCACTTGAAAAACTCATAAGTTTATAGTTTAAGAGCTGTGATAGGAAGCTCTGATATGCAAGGCCTGATGGGTATCCAGGGCTATACTTTATAGGCTAGTAGAAATTGGTGGCAAACTTACTTTTAGGTTTTATTGTTGTTACCATAATTATTGTGGCTCATATTTTCAATTGTATTACTTCAAGTTCATAGGAATTGTGGGACAAAATTCTGAGAGTATACCTACATTACAGACTTGAGGCGTTTTTAGTGTATTCATTTTCATTCTGGGACAAGGGCAGAGGAGACAAAGGTTAAAACAGAAACCATTGGGATTTGGAAATGGTTGAACTTTCTGTTAATTTCTTTCTTGCTTGCTAGAGATACTGGTAAAATATAAGAAAGAACAATAATCAGAAAAAGAACTTCTCAGTGTTAACTAGCTCTGTGCTCTCTCAGGAAGCATTTCAGGTTTTCATGTAGGATTTTAGTTAATAGTGCATCGTTTTTATTATACTTTAAGTTCGCGGTACATGTGCAGAACGTGCAGTTTCTTCACATAGGAATACATGTGCCATGGTGGTTTGCTGCACCCATCAACCCATCACCTACATTAGGTATTTCTCCTAATGCTATCTCTCCCCTAGCTCCCCAACCTAGGGCAGACCCTGGTATGTGGTGTTCCCCTCCCTGAGTCCACCTGTTCTCCTTGTTCAGCTCCCACATACGAGTGAGAACATGTGACATGACTCATCCTTTTATATGGCTGCATAGTATTCCATTGTGTATATGTGCCACATTTTCTTTACCTAGCATATCATTTGGGCCTGGACATTTGGGTTGGTTCCAAGTTCATTGTTTTAAAACAGTGTTTTCAAAACTCTTTGAAAACTATTTACCTAAGTGTTAGTAATGTGAAAATGGTTATTGATGTCAAGGTGAGATGCTATATTTCAGATGTTTGCAATAAATGGATGTCATTCTTGAAGACTCATTGTGTCCATTAACAAATTGAGGGTTCTGAACATTCCTGTTTTAAAAAAGAAACTTCGTCATCGTTTACATGAAATTTTCCAAGCTTATACACTTACATATTAAGATCTGAAAGGCAAACATTCAGCAGAATAACTGTTTGTGAACACAGTTCTAGGGTAATAACCCATAAAAATTTTAGTATAAATAAGCAAAGATCAAACTTATTACTCTAATTTTCTCAGATCCAGAATGTTAAGAACTTACATCTGCATCTTGGTGGTTCTGACCACTCTCCATTACTACAAGTTACATATTGAGAACCCTGAAGTTCATAGGAGGACTGGCATTGGTACTCAACTGTTGACTGTGGCAGATACACTTTTTGCGGGAAGGACTTGGTATCTCCATTGCTAATAGGTGGAGGAGGCCCACACTTTTCTGAAGAATCTGAAAAAAAGAATATTTTTTATGTAGAGAAAAATCAACAGTTTTATTGGAAACTTTCTGATTGAAGTTTTTTATATACTCTTAACTGTATCTTATTTGATGTCTTAGGAAGACATTTGCATTTTCAACCTTGGTTTTTTTTTTTTTTTTTTTTAAGGTTTAAGGTAATTCACACTCAAATGAGTACTACATGAATATGTACATATATGTATATGTATGTATGTTTTTATTTATTTATTTATTTAATTCTAGTAAAAAGAAATACTTGAATAAAACACTTACTATAGCATGTTGGCAAATGCGACCAGCCATCTTCACCACACACTATGGAACCTGTGGTGTTTCCATATCTGCTTTCATATCCATCATAGCATTCATAGTCCAATGTGTCATGGAGCTTAAACCACATGCCATTACTCTTGGCTCTGGAATTCTCAAAAACTGGCATATCACAAAGTTCTGAAACAAAATAAAATTGAGGATTGCTTTTTTATGCCATATGATATACAATTCAACTAAGAAAGTTTCATTATAGGAATAAAATTTACCAATCAGTGTTTGCTAATAAATTGAGTACTATTAAAAATAGTTTGATAATCAGTGTTTTCTTTGTACTGTAATAGTTTATTAGAAGAGAAAAATATATTTCCCTATATATATCCTTCTCATCATTTAAATCCTATGAGAAACATATTAATAATATTTAGTCAGACCTATTTTTATTTGGGAACATCTCATTGGCTATTATTACAGTCTACCTTTCTCATTATAATGTATTATTTTAAAGACGATAAAATTTTGTGAATTTAAAAGTTAATGTACATATTTATGTACTCAATTTACTGACAGTAAGGGTGTATGTTGGATTAAAATTATATTCATTGGATATAGGTTCTATAAAAGTTTTAAAAACATATTATCTTTTATTTTACAGGTCTTAGATCATTTATCAAAGCTGAGTCAAATTAGATTAAACTATGCAGCTTTGTCTTTTGCAGAACCCATGATAAGCATAGAAATTGAAAACAGTATTCTAGAAATGTAGGAATTATATTTTATAGCTCCCAAACCTCAGAGTAACTATGAGATAATCACTTTCTAATTGTATCCTTTCTTTTTCTCACTTAGCTTAATACTTTTGAGATTCATCCATGCACTATTATGTATCAGTAGTCCCTTCCATTTCATCTCATGGCTAAAAATAGTTGAATTGTACACTTGAAAATGAAGTGGATTTTGCACTATGTAAATTATATATCAATATGTGTGTTAAAAATAAATTAAATAATTTATCTTTAAAAATCTTTGTGAATGTCTACAGAGAAAAGACAAAAAAGATCAACTTTTGCCACTGCAAGATTTCCACGGTTCATTATGCAATCTCTTTAATAATAAGTAGTTACAAGTTGGGAATGTTTTAGAGAACTTTAGTTGTAAGGAATCCATTGCCAAGTATGAGGTTTGTAAACATTCAGCCCACCCACTTACCCTTTTCCTTTACTTGTTTTCTCTGTACTAGATTACCAGCTGGAAATAATTTTCTGAGTTGGTTCTCCTCAGTTGCATCATTGATACAAATTATTAAGGTCTCATTCTCCTGATGCTAGCAGAAACTCAGAATTAAGCACTCATCCCTTCCCCGACATGTACATCTTTGCTGAGTGTGAGCAAGGAATACAATACAAGCAGTTGATAATTTTGAAATACGAAGAAAGGGAAAAGAACAAAGTTTTTATTGACAACTGTTACATTTTGCTGAGAGTCCCGTGCAGCTGTCTAACTAGTCTGTACCTGATGGGATTGCTTTTACGCAAAGGCAAATTGAATTGAAAGAGATGGAATGATCATCTTCCCAAGTAGCCATTACTCTAAAAGGCAAAAAAGGCTTAGTCTGGCACAGAATGTTAAATGGTATTAGAAGTGTTTATATCTCTTTACTCCTAAAAGTGTTTTCTATATTTTTAAGTAAAACACTATCATCTCAAAGAGAGGAACGAAGTTGACAGAAACTGAATGGGAATATGTAAATCACTTACTAATGCAAATTGGTTGTGCTGACCATCCATTTTGCAAACATGTAATTGATCCTGAAGAATTTCCATCTGCTGTTGCATATCCTGGCTTACATTTATATTGTATTTCTTTATTTAAAATATAAATAGAAGAAGATTCAGAAATAAATCCATTTTCAACTTCTATATCTGATTTTGAGCATGTTCCTAAAAGAGCAAAAGTAGAGAAAAAAGTAAATATTTGTTGAATATTTCTTTTATAAAAGGGAATAAGTAAAAACATGGCAATATGGTAAAACAATGAAACATTTGTTAAGGAATTGAAAATAGCAAAACTGGAAGTTTCCTAGACATCCATGTTCCTAAAATAAACCATGAATTTTGAAAGAAAATAGTGAAAACACAGGGAAAGGCAGAATAAAAGCAAAGAATTCTTGAGACTGTCAACAGAGCTCTGGCAGGCCTTGAGGAGGAATGCAGATCTAGCAAACTCTCAATTCCCTATGACTTTTTGGAAGAGTTTCTGGCTGCTTTGCAATAACTTGAATCTTTTTGATGCTATTAAGAGATCTTAGACCTCATATAGTCAAATGCCATTTCCCAGGCAAAGATACAGTGCACACTGCTTACCATAGACAAAGAAATAAATTTGCAAATCTTTAGCCTCCAGGAATTTAAAATGGTTATCATCTTAAGTGGGTCTTACACCCTTATAGACATGGTGTTTGAGAGAAATGTGGAAATGTAAGCAGGAAAAAAACAAACAAACAAGATAATAAAAATAAGTTCTAGTATACTAGTAATGTATATGTTCTTTATATATTATCAATGTGGACCAATTTTACTATCTGAAAGGAAAAGAAATCATGTTAAAGATGATACATATTTTATAATATAGCATTTGTCATAATCATGAGTTTTCTGATCTATTCTTGCCTACTTTCCTATTAATCTCCTCCCGCCTCTAAACTACAGTGTTCAGTTTCTCTTGTAAACAATTTTATTTTCAATACCTGTAAAGGTGCTTGACACACAACAATATTTATTAGGTGCATTAATAACAGAGTTGGTGCCTATGGCAGGAGAAGAAGGGACTTTTCTTTCAGAGGCTTAGGCTGTTGTTGAGGACAGTGCTCCTATAAGTGTGCAAGATTCCCATTCCCCTTCATTCTTATTGTATCCTAATTATCATATAGTTTCTATAATGGAATGTTTTGTAAATTGCAAACAATACACACAAAGAACTTTCAGAGACCCCTTTACCTAAAAAGTGAAAGTCAGCTATAACTGATTATAAGGCTTAATTTAAAGCATGTGAGAGACGTACAAGTGACCTTTGGGCAAGCATTGTATTTTTTAATTAATGCTATAATTTTATAATCTACTTAAATCAATGCATTCACTTTGATGTAAACACTGAAGCAGTGTTACTTTAATGTGTATTTAATGTATTTTGTGATCTTCATAACATATATATGTTTGTGTGTATATGTGTGTGTGTGTGTGTGTGTGTATATATATATATATATTTTTTTTTGAGATGGAGTCTTGTCCTCTCACCGAGTCTGGAGTGCAATGGTCCAATCTAGGCTCACTGCAACCTACGCCTCCCTGGTTCAAGCCATTCTCCAGCCTCAACCTCCTGGATAGCTGGGATTACAGGCTTGTGCCACCGCATCTGGCTAATTTTTGTATTTTTAGTAGAGATGGGGTTTCACTGTGTTGGCCAGGCTGGTCTTGAACTCCTTACCTAAAGTGATCTGCCCATCTCTGCCTCCCGTAGTGCTGGGTTTACAGGAGTGAGCCACCGCACCTGGCCACTGACTTATATTTCTATTGTTACTTGACCCTATTAAGTGACAGAATCCACTAATTATCCAGAACTTATAAATGTGTTCAGACACATTTGGAACTGGGAACTAGATAGGCTTTTGTTTTAAAATAAAAAGACATAAATTCAGCTTGAGGGTTGATATACAAAATTTTCCAGTTAAATGTCTAGATCTTAGACAGTTACAGACATACTGGGATCTCAAATAAGTGGACTAACTGACACCAATGCATCTGGGAGAAGACCAGCTCTAAATACGTTCTTCCATATTTTTATTATATCCATTCTCCAAATAATTGAAAATACATTGTCCTAAGGACCATAAAATGATTTAAAGGTAAATTAAAGACATGAATTTGATCAAAATACTATATTAAAATAATTTTTAGAATATTTAAATAACACTACATCAATACTCAAAACTAATGTATAACTCAAGAAAAATTAAAGCTAGTACTAAGTGTTTGTACAAAAAAGTCAGTATTCAATGTTACTTAACCTTAGTTTTTATGATAAAATATATTTAAATTATATAGGTATTCTCCTAAAGTTCCTACATTTATTTCTCATGTAATTTTCATGAAGATCTCATAACAGAAAAGATCCATTTTGGTCTTTTTGCTTGAATAACTCTTCCTTTGGTCCTATTTCTGTTATATAAGACAATGTAATCATTTATTTGCTTTTCTCTCACGCTTTTCAAGTTTTATGCACATATTGTAAAGAGGTTTACTTACTGAGGCATGGGACTGTTGGCGACCACCCATCTTGTGTGCAATGAATGTAATCCCAGTAACTTCCTGAAGGAGTCACAAAATTTGCATCACAGTAATAGGAGTAAGATTTTCCTGCAGCTACTGGAAAGTATGGTCTACGCTTACTCTCATAATACAGACCTCCATGTTGAATTTCTGGAAAATCGCAAGGTTTCACTTCTTGTAATAAAAAACAAAAAACAGTATAAATAATGTTTTACTATAACGGATAATCATACAACAGATGACATTTTTGATCAATGAATTATTTTCTCTTCTTAGCATAATTACACTCATTGAATTAGGGGTTTTAGGGCAAGAAAAGTTACAGAATTCCAATGACCTAGATATGTGAAGAGCTGTTTGTTAATGAAGATTGAAGAAAACTGCAGACCTATTTAATGTACTCTCCTTGAGTACAGATCTTCTAGTCCTGGTTGATTAGTGAGCTTCCTGGTTGAGAGATGAAGACGCTTATTTTACCATTCAGCTCATGTCTTCTTTTCCTTTCTGTTCCATCCCATTAGAAATCAGACCCCTGCCTTTTTTTCTCAGACCAACTCTATAGTGGGAGATAGTAGTTTTTGGGGGATTTAAAAAAATTGACTGTAAGGAATGTAAATACTACAGGGAAACATATAGATTTCTCATTGATCACATCACACAACAAAATAATATTGCTAATTCATGTCACAAACCAGTTATTAAGACAAGATTTCTATTCTTTATTTAACCAGGAAAATGAACTACGAATATTTCTTAATATCTAAATATCTAGGAATATAATAAGCATTTTTATTTATTTTTAATTTCGATTAGAAAGTAAGATGTTTTTACTGTGTTATGTAAATTTTTTTTTTTTTTTTGAGACGGAGTCTCGCTCTGTCGCCCAGGCTGGAGTGCAGTGGAGGGATCTCAGCTCACTGCAAGCTCCGCCTCCCAGGTTTACGCCATTCTCCTTCCTCAGCCTCCCAAGCAGCTGGGTCCACAGGCGCCCGCCACTTGGCCTGGCTAGTTTTTTTTGTATTTTTAGTAGAGACGGGGTTTCACTGGGTTAGCCAGGATGGTCTCGATCTCCTGACCTCGTGATCTGCCCATCTCGGCCTCCCAAAGTGCTAGGATGTAAAATATTTTTAGCATACTATAATTACAGTTTATTGAGGAATTTGTGTATGTTGAATATTTGACATATATGTTTAAGCACTATGTCATCATAAGGCTTATACTTGATGTTTCCAAAAAAGGTTTCCACTTCCATGGGATGATTCAGAGATAATTTACTACTTGTAATACTAGAATAGTATTCAGTTTTTCTATGAAATGTGATCATTGTTCAAGAAACCTTATACTACACATAAAAGATTCCAACATATGCACCACACACACACACACACACACAATATTGTTTATGATCTCCATTATTCTTTAGTCCACTGGTTTATTGTCTTTCTTTCTTAGTTTTTCATTAGAGAGATTCTCAGGCAGTTTCTACAGTCTTGTTATGTGGATTATAAATGCTGAATTCTTGCATCTCTTAAGTACATTCATTTAAATGATATGTGGTAACTTCTCTAGGTATAGATTCTTGGCCTACAGTCCATATTTCTCATGACCTTTTTTTTTTTTCTGCCACATTTTTGAAACTTCCAATGTGGAAGTTCAAATATTCATTCAGTTTCTTTGCTTATAAATAGCATTTCAATTACTCTGATTTTAGGGTATAAATTCTCAGCTGTGCTGTTTTTGAAGCTGAGCTCAACCTCTTCCCCCTATTGCAATAGCCAGATAAAATCTGTCTTGTCATATTTAACAAGTGTCAGATGAATAATTTGTCTTAACACATCTTACATTCATCAATCTATTTCTTTTTGTTTGATTAGAAAAATTTTTCAAGCGGTTTCTACAGATTAGTTATGCAGATTTTAACTTTGAATCCTTGCACGTTGTAAATGTATTTAACAAAGACCTGGGAACAATACCTTGTCTTTGTATAGTTTCTTGGCCTATATCCATATCTCTCATTGTTGATAGATTTTGCCCCCCATTTTTTGAACCTTCCAAAGTTGAGCTTAAAATGCTCATTTAGTTTCATTCCTTCTATGTTACATCATGCTGTTTTTCCCCCACCACTGTTTGGAGATTTGTATTATTTTCTCTTTACCTTTGAACTTTGCGAATTTCACCATGATACATTATGATACATCAGCATAGGTCATTTAAGACTAATTCCAGGGGGCGGAGCAAGATGGCCAAATAGGAACAGCTCCAGTCTCCAGCTCCCAGTGCCAGCGACACAGAAGACAGGTGATTTCTGCATTATCAACTGAGGTACTGGGTTTGTCTCACTGGGGAGTGCCAGACAATTGGTGCTGGTCAGCTGTTGCAGCCCGACCAGCCAGAGCTGAAGCAGGGCGAGGCATTGCCTCACCTGGGAAGCAGAAGGGGGAAGGGAATCCCTTTTCCTAGCCAGGGGAACTGAGACACACACCTGGAAAATTGGGTAACTCCCACCCCAATACTGCGCTTTAAGCAAACGGGCACACCATGAGATTATATCCCACACCTGGCCGGGAGGGTCCCACACCCAGGGAGCCTTCCTCATTGCTAGTACAGCAGTCTGTGATCTAACCGCAAGGCAGCAGCGAGGCTGGGGGAGGGGCGCCTGCCATTGCTGAGGCTTAAGTAGGTAAACAAAGTCCTGGGAAGATCCAACTGGGTCGAGCTCACAGCAGTTCAAGGAGGCCTGCCAGTCTCTGTAGACTCCATCTCTGGGGACAGGGCACAGCTCAACAACAACAACAGCAACAGCAACAACAAAAAGCAGCAGAAACCTCTGCAGACACAAGCGACTCTGTCTGACAGCTTTGAAGAGAGCAGTGGATCTCCCAACACGGAGGTTGAGATCTGAGAACGGACAGACTGCCTGCTCAAGTGGGTCCCTGACCCCTGAGTAGCCTAACTGGGAGACATCCTGCACTAGGGGCAGACCGACACCCCACACCTCACACGGTGGAGTACACCCCTGAGAGGAAGCTTCCAAAGCAAGAATCAGACAGGTACACTCGCTGTTCAGCAGTATTCTATCTTCTGCAGCCTCTGCTGCTGACACCCAGGCAAACAGGGTCTGGAGTGGACCTCAAGCAATCTCCAACAGACCTAAAGCTGAGGGTCCTGACAATTAGAAGAAAAACTAACACACAGGAAGGACACCCACACCAAAACTCCATCAGTACGTCACCATCATCAAAGACCAGAGGCAGATAAAACCACAAAGATGGGGAAAAAGCAGGGCAGAAAAGCTGGAAATTCAAAAAATAAGAGCGCATCTCCCCCTCGAAAGGAACACAGCTCATCACCAGCAACAGATCAAAGCTGGACAGAGAATGACTTTGACAAGATGAGAGAAGAAGGCTTCAGTCCATCAAACCTCTCAGAGCTAAAGGAGGAATTACGTACTCAGTGCAAAGAAACTAAAAATCTTGTAAACAGAGTGGAAGAATTGATAACCAGAATAATTAATGCACAGAAGGCCATAAACGAACGGACAGAGATGAAAACCATGATACAAGAAATACGTGACAAATGCACAAGCTTCAGTAACCGAATCGATCAACTGGAAGAAAGAGTATCAGCGATTGAGGATCAAATGAATGAAATGAAGCGAGAAGAGAAATCTAAAGAAAAAAGAAGGAAAAGAAATGAACAAAGCCTGCAAGAAGTATGGGATTATGTAAAAAGACCAAATCTATGTCTGATTGGGGTGCCTGAAAGTGAGGGGGAAAATAGAAGCAAGTTGGAAAACACTCTTCAGGATATCATCCAGGAGAACTTCCCCAACCTAGTAGGGCAGGCCAACATTCAAATTCAGGAAATACAAAGAATGCCACAAAGATGCTCCTCGAGAAGAGCAACTCCAAGACACATAATTGCCAGATTCACCAAAGTTGAAACGAAGGAAAAAATCTTAAGGGCAGCCAGAGAGAAAGGTCAGGTTACCCACAAAGGGAAGCCCATCAGACTAACAGCAGATCTCTCAGCAGAAACTCTACAAGCTAGAAGAGAATGGGGGCCAATATTCAACATTCTTAAAGAAAAGAATTTTAACCCAGAATTTCATATCCAGCCAAACTAAGTTTCATAAGTGAAGGAGAAATAAAATCCTTTACAGACAAACAAATGCTTAGAGATTTTGTCACCACCAGGCCTGCCTTACAAGAGACCCTGAAGGAAGCACTAAACATGGAAAGGAACAACCGGTACCAGCCATTGCAAAAACATGCCAAAATGTAAAGACCATCAAGGCTAGGAAGAAACTGCATCAACTAACAAGCAAAATAACCAGTTAATATCATAATGGCAGGATCAAGTTCACACATAACAATATTAACCTTAAATGTAAGTGGACTAAATGCTCCAATTAAAAGACATAGACTGGCAAACTGGATAAAGAGTCAAGACCCATCAGTCTGCTGTATTCAGGAGACCCATCTCACATGCAGAGACATACATAGGCTCAAAATAAAGGGATGGAGGAAGATTTACCAAGCAAATGGATAACAAAAAAAAGCAGGGGTTGCAATACTAGTCTCTGATGAAACAGACTTTAAACCATCAAAGATCAAAAGAGACAAAGAAGGCCATTACATAATGGTAAAGGAAGAGCTAACTATCCTAAATATATATGCACCCAACACAGGAGCACCCAGATTCATAAAGCAAGTCCTTAGAGACTTACAAAGAGACTTAGACTCCCATACAATACTAATGGGAGACTTCAACACCCCACTGTCAACATTAAACAGATCAACAAGACAGAAAGTTAACAAGGATATCCAGGAATTGAACTCAGCTCTGCAGCAAGCAGACCTAATAGACATCTACAGAACTCTCCACCCCAAATCAACAGAATATACATTCTTCTCAGCACCACATCACACTTATTCCAAAATTGACCACATAATTGGAAGTAAAGCACTCCTCAGCAAATGTACAAGAACAGAAATTATAACAAACTGTCTCTCAGACCACAGCGCAATCAAACTAGAACTCAGGACTAAGAAACTCAATCAAAACCACTCAACTACATGGAAACTGAACAACCTGCTCCTGAATGACTACTGGGTACATAACGAAATGAAGGCAGAAATAAAGATGTTCTTTGAAACCAATGAGAATGAAGA